TTCTTAATGGGTTAATCTTAATTGATAGGATCTAGTTTTTCTAAACAAGGTTTAGGTGAAACTTGTATAATCCTAAAGGCCTTCCAAGTCCTTAAACTCGTTTAGATTATCGGTAGGGTTATCCAACCCCTAACCTTATGCATCCGGAGGTATGGAAAGTCATTCAATAATTTCATATACATAGGATGAGTTTCGAGTCCAAACGAGAGTCCGGATGAGCATCGATAAACTTTCTTCACACGTACCATCCAAATATCTATATCTAAATATTAAAAGAGTTTTAACTTGGGTCCAAAGCTTCTGCGATTTTTCTTGTGGTATGTGTGCAAAAATACAAAATAGATATGTCCAACCTAGTTCGGATTAAATAAATTACATAAAATAAATGACTTGAAATTAAATAACAATAAATAACTTGGATACATATAGCAAATATAAAAATAAAGGAGATAAAATTTAAAGAAGGCTAAACTTATGGCCTAGCTCTAAATCTCTAGTGAAGTTGTCATGCTATCGTTACTTGACATTTAGAAGACTTCTAAAAAATAAAAATTATTTTTATTTATTGTTTATTATTTTTTATTTATTTTTATGGACAAGAGTTACCAAATGTTTTATTATCACCACCTAGTATTAAAATAAATTACAAAACCTAAAAAGGATATTGGATTCGGAGATTACGGGTAAGGAGATGATTATGCTTTTAGGAAGATATCGATCACTAAAAGTTATCATTTTCGAAGAAAGATATTATGCTTGGTTTAATCCTAAAATATATCTCCTAAGAATTCATTTTGCCAAATTATTTCCTAAATTTATTTCCAAGTTTGTTTATTGTCTAAATCAAATTATTTTTTATTTTTTATTGTGGCACCGTATTAAATAGGCATCAAGATCCAAAATTGAGAATTTTGTCAATTTAACATTGGATCCAATTAAAGTCCTAACACGGTAGGCATTTCGAGGAAAATCCTAATTAAACTAAAAAGGTTTTATTTGGAGTTGTGCAAAAAATGTTTTCAAAAATAATTATTTTATTTTATGTATGACATCGTATTAAATTAATATCGAGGCCTAAAAATTTAGGAGTTTCTTCAATTTATCATCGTATTTAATTAAAGTCCTAACACGATTGGTATGTTGAGGAATAGCCTAATTAACTAAACATGTTTGAACAAAATGCTGAATAAAAATGGCCCAAATAAATTTTGTAGTTTAGTTAAATCGGATACCCATCATTTCAAGAAAATAATAACATAAACAATTCAATCAGTTAATTGATTAATTAAATTAGATATGAAGCATTGTAAACAAATAATAGCATAAGTAATTCAATTAATTAATTAATTTACAACACATGGGATCAAGACTTATCCTAGATAATCCATAAAATAAAACACAAATTCATCCTCTTAACTCCATCTTAGCGAATTGAACCAATTTTACTTCACCCTTCAATATCCTTGGGAGTCTCCGACCCCTCAAGTTCGATGAACAATGACACATCCCAACGCACTTCAATCTAATCACATACTTTATTCAAACATGCTAAAAAATAAATTATAAAATAATTAGAATAAATATCAAAAACAGTCCCAAAAATGACTAAATTATCCTATGTTGCTTTAGAAATACCAATTTTATGCTTAGAGTGAAAGAATGATAATATTTTCCCATGATGCTAAAAATGACCAAACTACCCTTTGATGTCGTAAATTACAAATTTTTCCTTGTTATGAAAAATGATAGAGTTGCCCCCTCTTGGCCTCCTCTTCTTTCTCCCATAAATGAATTTAACCGTAATGGCTTGTAGAGAGAAATGGACCACCCAAGTCTCGACCTCCTTCCTTTTTTCTTCGCTTTGTTTTTTTTTAAAAAAAAATTAAAACTAGTTTGTTGTGGTGGTAGTGAGGGTTTTAAGTACTAGTGGTTGACAATAGTGGTAGTCAAGAAAAGAGTGGGAGGTCAAGGGTTTGGTGGTCGTGTGAGTTATGGCTATTAGAGGGGAAAAAGATAATGTTGTGATTGATGATAGGATTTGGGTGTGGGTGGCTTGTGTTGTTTGTTGTGATCGGTGGCTGGTAAAATGGCTAGTAGAGATAGTGGCTAGGTTTTGGAGGTGGGTATGGAAGATCTATAGTTAAAGTGGTTGTAACTAGTTGATAAAGTTTGGCATGAAGGGTTTGTGCTTGCGGTAGTGGGCTGGTGGGTGTTGAGCTAAGGAGGAGCTATGGTTGAAGTGGTTGTGGCTAGTTAATAAAGTGTGGCATTGGGGTTTAATGGGTATAATGGTGGTGGTTAGTTCTAGTGTTGATGTTGAACAAAAGGGTTGGCGAGTTGGGTTTTTTATTTTTTTAAGGCGGAAGATGACGGTTGCGAGCTTAGGTCTTTTTTTCTTTTTTAAAGGAAGAAGATGATGGCAACTAGTGGATGAAGAAGGTTATTGGGATTGGTTGACTAGTTTGGGTATTTATAAAAGAGGTCGAGTGCGACTAGTTTTTTTTTTTTTTTTGGTGCGGAGTTACGGTGGGTAAGGGAGATGGAAATTGAGGGTGAGGGTGGTAAACAACTACGAGTGAAGGAGGGTGACTACCTTGACTAATGATAATGCTTGGAGAGTGTGGTGAGGAGTCTGCGGATAGGTAGTTTTTTTTTTTTTTTTTTAGGAGAAGATGAACTATTCTCTCGGTTAAATTAATGAGAGAAGAAGTTTGTTTTTATATGTTTTTTTAGGGTTGAGATAAAAATTAAATTTGGTCTTTTTTTTTTGTTTCTTTCAATTTGAGTATACGTTTTATTATTTCTTCTCCAATTGGGCTCTTGATTGAAATTGTTTAGTCCATATTCTCTTGATTTCTTCCAATTTTGTTCTAATTCATTCTCAATTAAGGTCCTTGATTTTTTTTAATTCCTTTCCAATTATATATGTAATTGAATGTTATTTGGTTTTCACTTCTCACATCCTTTTCAATTAGTCTTCAAATCATTTTTCAATTTCTTTTATTTTCTTCTCTCTCTTTTTTTTTATTTAATAAAAATTAGGGGATGATCCTATGAAATTAAAATTCTAAAAATTTATAAAAATAACTAAAAATCATGAAAAAAAAAACTATACAATATGTAAATTTTAATTTTTTTTTTAATTTTGTATAAAAATAAAAGGGGAGGGAGCGATCAAAAATGGTTTATGACATGCTTTATAAGTAAAATCACCTTTCAATTTTTTTTTTCTTAAAAAAAAAAAAGCAATGGAGTTAAGTTGTTTTAGCAAACACTTATTTTAAACTTTCATGTGCTTCAATAAAATCTAAAAAAATGAGGGATGAACATAGTCTAAAATTAACATGTGAGAACTCAACATTAGCATAGGTAAATATTATTTTGAAAATTTTCAAAGAATAATAGTAATATAAGAAAACTACAATTTGAGTGTCCAATTTTTTATTTTTTTTCGTGCTCACAATCAATTAAGATTGAAAAACATTCATGTGTTAGAGACAAACTGTCATGTGATTATTTTTGATCGACATGTAGCAAAAATTGAGTCTCACTTAGATTATTGAGAAAAAAATACAATTGGAATGCCCACTACTTGATTATTTTTATATTTGAGTGCTCAATAATTGATTGCTTTTCTATTTAAGTTCCTCCAATCACTTAATACTATAAAATACTAATATATCTAAGACCATTAACACATAACGAGTCTTTAACTAATACTTGATAAAAATAAATAAATAAATAAATCTCATTCGATTTATTTAAAAAATTATAAAATTATAAAACTTTTAATAAAAAAATAGCTGGTAAAAAAAATCAAAATCTATTACTATTTTCATAAGGAACTCGAATTGTTTAAATGATCAAATATTAAAAATCTTGTATTAGACAAAAAAAAAAAAAAAAAAACCATAATGATATTTTGAAAGAGTTTTAAAAAATTAGTTAGCAAACTTATCGAATTTATTCAGCTAACAATAATTGAGTTTGATATTTTATTAATTATTGCTAGCTGTTTTTTTATAAAAATTATATAATGTTTTTTCAATAAATCTTAGAAAGATCTATATTTCATCACATGTTAGTTAAAGATCGTTATATACTAGTAGATTCCAATCACATTAGAATTTTTCAATCTAATATGATTGATGAAATTCAAATAAGAAAAAAAAAAAGTTTAGCACTTCAATAGAAAAAATAATAAATAAAAAAATCAATCAAATTGTAGTTTTTTTTTTAAAAAAAATTTTTTTTTAATAATTTAAGTAGAATACATTTTTGCTAGATAGCAATTCATTTCAAATTCATCAATATTTTTCAATGTTAAGTAATTATGGTCTCTTAACAAAATAATAATAATAAAAAAAGTAGACAATCAAATAAAAAGTTTGATCGAATTGAGCATTCAAGGAAAAAAAAATTAAGCACTAAAATTGCAGTTTTTTTTAATAGTAGCATAAACGCGCTTTATGAATTACTCCATTTTTCAGAGCAGTTTAATACCCTGACCAAAACCTATGTAGTGCTAGTCACTAGACAGTAAACGCCAGTACTAGGTAAGGTAAATTATCTTGTCCGGGTAAAAGCACAGTTAGTTTCACTGTCTATGACTGAAGTCTAATAGCTTGAAACCTGTCAAAACGTAGGGCAACATTGTAATTTAGTCAACTACTTTCGTTCTATGAAATTACCACAATGCCGTGAACAAAGACAGCTTGCATTTTCTATTGGATCTAAAGTCGACTGCAAGGAATCTGTTTTTGTAGAGTTAGGTTTATCTCTCTCCGTCTGTATGAGCTGTAAATCTCAAACGCGCACACAGACTCGGAATTTTAGGAAGTCTGCTCTTTCTTGTATCGTCATCACCAATCATTTATAAAGTTGATATATATCTGAAGATCCATCAGAAAGACAGGATAGGGAGATAGCTATAGCTAGCCAGATATCATCAATCCAATATCTATAACATCAGTTTATTTACCAGAGTAAAGTAATCATCGATGGCATCATTTGCAGGGACAACTCAGAAGTGTAAGGCATGTGAGAAGACTGTATACTTAGTGGATGAACTCACTGCTGATAACAAAGTCTATCACAAGGCTTGTTTTAGATGCCACCACTGCAAGGGTACTCTCAAGGTTAGTTAATTTGTCCCTCTATATCAGAAGCACATGCAGGAGTCTGCTAAAAGATACAGACATATATACTTTCTTTTTGATGAACTAATTTATCTTTGGTATATCCTCGATCTCTTTCTCTACCGTCTATTTTTACTGGATTTATAGTCACCTTTTAGTTTATATATTTTACTTTTGTAGTACATGGTTACAAATATTTTGACTGGGATGTAGGGGGTTGTTTTTTATTGAAGATGATTGTGTCCTTGCTTGGTGTGTCAAGATAGATAATATACATGTCAACTGAAAGGTGTTTTATTGAAGCTGATTTGTTTTTCTAACAATATCATCCAATATATATTGCTCTAGCTAGTACCCAAAACAATATATATAAATGTTCATTTTTTGTTCTGGGGTCCAAATTGAGATTAGATTTTGCATGCGTATCTTTCTTTCTTTCTTTTTCATATGATCAATTCAATTGGATTATCTATAGATGGGGTTGTTTAGATCCTTTGATACTAAATGCTGTTTATCCTAGTTGGTTGGTGATAGGTCCCTTTCTTTTGGCCATAAAATTTATTTGTAGATCCTCAATTTTTGAGTGGTGATCACGGAGTACTGCGCCCCACAGGTTGTCAAGGGAAGGAGAGGTGGGGTTGAAAGAGAGAGTTCATTTTCAATTTGCCAAACAAACAATGACTTGTGGATGGTTAAAAAGCAATTCTTGGTTGCTTTTGTTTTTGTCGGCCAATTGGATAGTTGGGAACAGAAGAATGGCTTTTTTTTTTTTTTTTTTCAAACCATAAAGCTGCTTCTAAAGTCTTTCAGATCTCAATTTTAAACAGCAAAATGGGAATTTGTATATCTAGAGATTTCTATTTATGGAGTTAATTTTATATTACGTTCTAATTTGGAGAACTTTATTAAAATATCAGGAAGAGATATATGCAGTTATTGCCATGGTACACGGACACAGCAGGACCTCTAGTAGGTTGAGTGAAAGCAAATTGACTGTTTCTTTAGTCCTTCGAGTGCGTAAATCAGATTGTATTCCTATTGAACTTTGTTCCCTGGTTGAACTGAATGATTTAAGTTGATATGCGACCTGCAGCATGAACACAAATAAGATAACCAATAGTAGCAGTTTTTTCATTTCTTTTTCTGCCATAAACTGACTGCTAGGTACCAGCAGAAATGAGGTTTAACTTAATCTGCATGTAATTGGCAATTTCGTGGCAGTTCAAGTTAATGTGAACACATCGGAAGGAAGTGTTACTTCAGAGGATTTCGCCTCATTTATCCAAAATAAATTGAAACTTATCTTCTATTGGAAGCATATATGGATCAATTATTGAGTTGCTTAAAAGACATAGTAAACCCATATACAAAGCAATTGAGTGATCACAGAAAGGTAGTCAGAGATTGAAGAACTAACAAATAGCAGAATAGGGATGCTGATAGATACACCCACTTAGGATTTTCTCGTCAAACTATTGGATGGTAGCAATATGCAGAAACCTACTATGCAACCAGATGTATGAAATCTTTTGCGCATGCTATAAAGATTTCAGGCAGCTCCAGGGAATCAGGTTCCGAAGAAAACTTGGTGTCCTTTTTCCTTGCATAACAGAAATATGAACTCTTGTGTTTTCTATGATGTTTTCTGCTTAATTGATCTAAACATTTTCCTTTTCACCATTGCAGTTGAGCAACTATTCATCCTTTGAAGGTGTTTTATATTGCAAGCCTCACTTTGATCAACTTTTTAAGAGGACAGGCAGCTTGGATAAAAGTTTTGAAGGTGAATGCTGGTTATTAATTTTCTTGTTGTAAATTTGCAATATCTGCTTATTCAATTTTGTTTACGGGCTATTGTTTTCCTCTTGCTTACTTAGGCACTCCAAAAACGGTTAGAGTTGACCGGTCAGCTGATCAGGTATTAACACTTCATTACAAGTTACAACTATTTCATACTTCATTTATTGATCTTTAAAATGACTATTAAGATGCTTCTTTTTGTGAATGGAATTGCACAGGTCCATAGCAACAGCAAAGTCTCAAGTATGTTTGCTGGAACTCAGGAGAAATGTGTTGCTTGCAAGAAAACTGTTTACCCAATTGAAAAGGTAGATGGGGTGATTTAATAAAAGTAACAATACATGTTTTGACAGAATAAAATCATTTTTTTCCCACTGGGGCTGGAATGCATAAGCCATTAAATTAAGGAAATAAATTTGTTCAAATGATTGCAGCAGATGGTGTTGCTTGTTTTGTGAGCATGTTTAAAGCTAATGAAAAATAGAAAGCAATGCTACCAAGGGTGTCTAAGAACTTTTGAGCTTGAACAAGAGTAATATGTTATTCTGTTTTACCTTTAAATGTTTTCACAAATCGACATCTTTGCATCACTTAGTTCTCCATTTTTATACTTCATCAATACTTTTTTGAACTTGATGCTCCAATTCAAGAAATTCAATTCCATTTAATCTCTATCCCAGCTTGTGTTTGTCTGTTTTTTTCCCCTAATATTCTCATAGATGAATTTTGTTGTCATGAGAAGAAAAATTGGAAACTTTTCTTAGAGTTTCTTGTATCCAACTTTCTGAATCGTTCAGGTGGCAGTTGATGGAACATCTTATCATAAAGCTTGTTTCAGATGCGCTCATGGAGGCTGTATCATCAGCCCATCAAATTATGTAGCCCATGAGCATCGTCTTTATTGTAGGCACCATCATCATCAGCTCTTCAAGGAGAAGGGAAACTTCAGCCGACTTGACAAGCATGAACTTGTCACGCCAGTGAATGAGACTGCAGCTGCTGAATGATACTGTAAAACTTTCACTAAATCTAAAAGAGATTGATAACTTGAGAGTTTTATTTCCAAGAAGGGTCAGATGCAATTTGCTAAGGTGCATGAAGAACTATTCTAAACTGGTAGTGTGTTATGGAGAAGCAGTGTTCAGTTGCGGAGTTCCAGCTTGTTGCTGTAACATTTTGAGTGTGAGTTTTGAACTTCTAATAAGTTGAGATGTGTTATAGTCCTTTTGTTTAGATACAAACTATAAACCAAGCACAAATTTTCTGTGTTCATTTTGAAGTTGAAGCTTATGTCTATGGATGTAGTGTCTTGTCACTGACGTTCTATGTTTGTAAACTATGATTCTTTGCTGGAGTTCATGTCTCTGCGTTAATTATTCAAATTCCTAATTCACATAATCACATATGTAGACCGTTAAAAGCTATCATATGTGCCTTCTGTGTTGTCTAAAAATGGATTGGGAGTGTTGGGTTGTGGAAGGCTGTAAACATGCTAACTGGAGTCTGACTAATGATTAAACTAATATTTTAAAACTTTTGTTTCATGGTTGTGGTGGAAGAGTTTCTTACTGAACTTGAAATGATTAAGTGGTTATACTAACCTAATATACTAAAGCAAATTTCTGCAACTAAATTTGGATGATACGGTGAGTGCATCCATAGCTCTATGGAAGCCAATGAAAGCAAACGCTAACATGCGAATTTAGGAGTAGGCCTATTAGCCCATAACAATCCCAATATCTGAAGCTCTCCACTTGGGTTACAAGCCACGAGCCTACAAGCTCTCCACTTGGTTTTGCATCGAACCAATGTCTTAATTTATGTTCAGAATTTAATCAACTCTCTATAAATTAGGGGAAAAAAAAACACATAACTATCATGTGAAATGCACAAATAATAATCAAGAGTAAAAAATAAAACACTCATGAAAGTAAAATTACAGAAGTGTCAAATATATATGAAAAACCTTCTTTATCGTATGCAAATGAAAAAACCATAGGACTAAATCTTAAAAAAATCATTATAATTTTTTTAAAAAAAACAATCATTTAGGTTTTTCCATCAACTTGAGAAACAAAAATATTAGGAGTACTACAAGTTGCATTTTTACTTAAATCTGTTTCATTACGTAAATCTAGAATCTACAAAATCTCTATATTTTTATAAAACTCAATATTTTATGGTATCACTACTTTGAACATTATAATTCTTTATAATAGTAGTATCCAAAAATCAATTCCAAAGAGAAATATAATATTTTGCACAACAAAAATTCTTTCTTTCTTATTATTTAAAAAAAAAAAGAAAAAACTTTTTTTTCTTCCTTCTGTTACTCTATTTGGTAACAATGGACAAAAGAAAGACAAAATTTTTCTTTAATATACTTGTGTCAGCTAAACAAGAAATACAATACCCTTCCTTCTTTTTTTCTTTTCTTTTCACCTCCACTTGCACACACAATCACATGAAAATATACAATTTACTTATTTCTTTTTCTTTCTAGTTTCATAATATTTCTTTTCCTATTTTAATTTCTCAATAAGTTATGTTAAAGTCACTCATAGGTTGGACCTATAGCATACACCCAACAAATCTTCTCATTTAACTTATAAGGAAAAAAAATCTCAACTTATTATTCAGAATTCATGTTAACCATACCAGCACACAATCTATTCTCCTTGCACACTATCAATTTTATAGAGAAATCAGCAAGATTTTTATCTTGAAGAATCATCATTAACATCATCGATTGTTTCTCTACTAACTCATAAAACAACAATATTGTCAATCATTAATTTTGATTCTTGACCTAATTATAAGTTAGAATATTACGAAAGCTATTTAGCTCTTCAACCATCAATAAGACATAAATTAAATTAAAACTAGAATTCTTGGTAAAAAAAATGTCATTGACTAATAGATCTACTTATCGAGACTCTACATCTTAAAGTAAAGGGTCCTACTTCTCTTGCTCAACACCCTCCATATTTATATCATCATCAATACAAATTGTTGGCTTACTATAAATTTTATGTTTTTAATTCAACACTCTCCAATATATGGCAATCTCTTTGGCAAAAAGTAACATAAGACTTCTTTTCTAATCCTTTTTCATTCACTTAATTATAGCCTAGATCACAACTTTAGAGAAGTCTTATATCTAATTATACTTTTCTCAAGTATAATCAATTGTATTTTTATCTTGTACAATTTATCACCAATATTACCTCTAGTAACAACTATTGATCCCTTGTCGAGTTTTCATATTCTACTACCAAAATAATTGCAGTATCTAACAATGTCCAAAACATGAATATAAATCATATTCAAGCATAAATTCATGCAGCATATCCTTCAAAGTTAGTAGACAACCTATAAATATCTCTACACACATCGCCAACTCTTAGAACATTAACATAACTATTACTTTCTCTTTGTTTTTTGTGATAAGATTTTGTGCACCATTCGTTATCATTTTGCTTTATGCTTTTTCTATATTGAATAAGCTATCTTTCAATATAGATAGCAATAAAACACCATTCGGGGCATAATTATCAAGTCTCACAATCAAAATCTTTTAATTGTTTGAAAAAAAATTTCAATAGTAGTGTTTGTAGTTAATCATCTAACATTATTTTTATGGTTATCAATTGATTAATTGAATCTTGAAAGTCACTCAATTGTTCAGCAATAAACCTTTCATCTTTCTATTTTAAATTCACACGTTTTATAATAATAATTAAAAAAAAAACTTTATTCCCTGCAATCTTTATTTCATACATACTCTTTAATTTTTTCTATGGTTTTTGGGTATCTCGTCTGTTTGGATATATGGTAAAATACACTATTTTTTATCCATTGTTTGATAGCTCCAATATTTTTTTATACTTTTTTTTACTATAATTATCGAGTCTTAGTAGTTAGTTTGTCTTTACATAATTGAATCGGATAAAAAAAATCATGATAATAAAGTAAATTCTCCTTTCTTGGCTTACAAATTTAATAATGCGAAGTCGTCAATTTGATCATGGTTATCAAATTATCTTTTCCATCTAATTTACATAAATATTCCAACCAAAAGATTTGATACCACTGGTAGAAATTTAATTCAACTCCATGTATAGTAGATTTCATTAGAAAATAAGTATCAAATTAAATACACAAATGATAATAAAAAACATGAAATAAATCAATCTTAAGAGTAAAACCACAAGAATTTATGTTTAAAAACTACTCTATCATAGAGGGGGAAAAAAACGAAACTTGTCATAACCAAATTTTAGACCCCCATAATTATTTTTAAATCATTTTTTATAAATGTTTTTATTTAAATAGTGTAGGTTTCCCATGAATTTTTATTTTTATTATCATTAGTGTTTTTTTTTATCACTAGCTTTTAATTTTGATTTAATTATGTTTATCGTTTCGTCATAAATACCAAAAACAAAAAAAAATGAAAAAGAGAAACAAAAATTGAAAAAATTATAGAATTAATTTCATATTTTGCCTAAGGGTTTTAATTGTGATTATTTTGAAAGAATTATGGACCCATTTACAATTGTTAGAAATTTTGGAGAAACAATTAAAAGGAACTATTATTATCTAAAATTTACCCCTATTATTTTCTTTTTCTTTTTATTTTTAATAATAATAATAATAATAATAATAATAATAAAAGGCTCAAAATATTAGACCCTTAATTAAAATAAAAGAAAGGTATAATTGAAAGGAATTTAAAAGAAATTTTTTTGATTAATTGTAATTTAGGGGTCTCATTGGAGTTCAAACAACAAAAATCACTCTTAAATTGATGAATTAGGAGGAATCGGGGTTCAAAATCGATATTTACCTAAAAAGCCCTAAATTCCACCCATAAATAACTCATCTATCTCATTTTTATATACCTTTTACTATTCACCCTCAAAAGCCAAAAAATGTGGCAACACGAAAAACTCCTTCTTTATCCTTTCTAGTTGAAACCTCACCCATAACCACCTGTCCGCCTCTTTAATCTCCTCTAGCCAAAACATAACTTCAGCAATCACTATCGACCTCTAAAAGCCATACTAACCACCACCCATATCGGACCTTCTTTTTCCTCATAACCTAAAACCCAAATGAAACCCCACACCATTATAGCTTGAAACTTCCTTAACCCACAACCAATACCAAACCTATCATTTCCCGTTATAACCGCCATACCAAACACCCTTAATTGCTACCAACCTACTACAACTCCGACTCCGGGGACCATCATAGCTATACAACCACTTACTATCACTAGTTCGTTACAACTCCAACTCAAATGTTCACTTTTCAAAGACCTAAAACCTTATCTTCTTCAACCTCAAATAGCCTTGAACTAGCTACCCTAAAACACCACAACCCAACCACCTTTATCAACCTTAAATAGCCTTGAACTCGTCGCTTGAAACCCACTCTTCATAGCCTCACCTACTAAAACCACTTCCAATCTTAAAAATCACAACCCCGTTGTAAAACACTACTAAACCTAAAATCCCATTCTCCTAAAATTGAAACCCACTTCAAACATAACAACTAAAAAATATATATTTAAACTCAAAAAATGCGCTTTAAATTGATGATGATGTGTGGAGGAAAAGTGTATAATTAGTTAAAAAAGCAAAATTTATGGGTTGTTTTGATGTTGGTAGTAGTAGAAACTCGATTAATTATGGATAGAACAAAACACATAAAAAATTTGTTTGGTTAATTATTTTATTTAGTAGGAAAAACATGATGTTGTAGACTATAATTTTTATGTTTTTGTTGTTTGTTGATTAGAACATGAACATTGGATCGGATAAAACCGGATTAACTTCGTTGTGGAATTTTAAGCCTAACAAAATAGAACTAAAAAGAAGCTCAAGAAAAATTGCTTCCTTTTTCTCAATCGACTAAAAAATTCAATATTCATTGAGGTTTAAGGAAGTGAAACCGATCCAAACGTTATCGTTAACCCCATCATAACATTTGGGTAATTTTT